GGGTATCGAACCTTTGTAAGCGGTTCAGCCATTCAGGACTAAACGTGGATGAAGGGGTTAGAAACTCCTGCTCTAGCTCCTGCTTGAGATCAGCAGCATCCTGCCGAGCCTTTTGACGAGGTTTGAAGTCCTTGTAGACACCATCCTCCTCTTCGGCCAGCCTTGCGTCGAAAGCCGATGCGCTAAGGTTTTGCGAGTTTAGGCTTAATTCCGCCAGCGCCGATGTCAGAGTCTCCGCCATTTTCTATAACTTCTAGCCAAAGGTGTAAGGAAAGCTCTGATGGTACGCGATCTACTTCAGCATCGCACGACACGTCTGAGCAGAGATCTAACAGAGAGCCCCGCAAGGTAGCGTGACGGGAGGAAGATCTTATCAAAGCGGTAAGCCAAGGTTAATAAGACCTATGCAAAGCCTGCTGGCAGAATCCAGCATTCACAGGGTAGTAAATTGACAATGGACCCTATGTCAGTAGTAGCTTCGAGATGGAAAGAATAGCTAGCACCGGTGGTTTATTCGATGTGTTTGGCGGCGGGAAGTTCGCTGGCGCCAGAACCAACCAGCTCTGGCTCTGACGTCGTGTGGGGACTGCAGCTTCCGCCCACCGGTGGGATGAATAATGTTAATTCACATCCGGATGAACTAAAGCCATTTGGGAGGAAAACAGAGGGGAATCGGAAAATCTCAACGATCAGCTTCTTCCCCACAGATTTTCCTCCAGGGGGTTGTGGTCTTGCACAAATTCTGCTTCCCCCAGAAAGGTGAATGGGAAGGCACCTAAAGCCAGTCGGCACAGGATATCACAACTTTTTATTCCTGTTCATGTGCCCTACTACTAACAATACAAGGTAGTGTGGTCCTTGTACAATGAGTGATCCATCATGTACAGTCACCAGAACGCCAAAAGCAAATGCGAAACGATGATTTGAACCCAGTGTTACAATCGGAATGCTCCCGAAACAAACGCGCAAATACCCGTGCTGGAAAGGGGATGCCAGGGAACAAGCAGACGTCCGTGGTCGTGGACAGGCCCGATCCCCCCTCAAAACATCAAAAGAAGGTGTTCTATCTCCAGTCGTCCAATCTCGTATGCTGAATGCCAATTATCCGTCACACCCTGCGCCCTTTCATATACCCGCGCAAATTGAAAGAATATCACACAGTCCAAATAGGATTTAGTAAAATTAAGAGTATGGGGGTGTTGGGATGAGCGGCTCACCCTTGAGGCGAAAGTCGTGCTCAGCAACTATCCCAGAACTTACCCATGACAGAGCTAATGAATTACTCGCTAACGATAGGTGATGACAGGGAAGGTCTTCCTGTCTGTTACATTGACCTGGTATTCGAAGATTCCGTCCACAGTGGCGACGTATCTATACAGTCAGCTGGAGTTTACCCTAAAATCAGAACAAGACATGGCACCTACAATGTCCGGCCATCTGCACCCCAACCAATACCAGCTGTGCTACCCGGTTCCTGGTCTCGACCAATGCCCAGGCTACGGTCAGGAAGTTCATTCAACACGTTACGAATCCATCGAGGTGAACGAGCTTGTTCGTAATCCCACTGTGTCTGCCGATACCGCAGGTGACTTTGCCGGCTGTGTGGTAACATGGCATTTTGTCGCTGTTGCCGTCGAAGGCGTTCCACGGCCACACTGGCTCTCAGTTCAGTGCCGGAAAGCCGCGGTGTATCTTGCAAAACCTCGGGCGTGCCGTCCTGACTCTCAAGCCGCCTGTGGCCTGAACGGGATCGCTGGTGGTTTCTTGGCGGGGGCAACAAGTCTGCTGTGGTATTAGAGTAATCAAAATTGGCCGACGGACGGTTCATTGTGCCATGAAGCCGAGCCGCAGAGCCCTGTTCGTTACCGGAACTGTTAAGCTCACTGGAGCTGGAATCTGCAGCATGCGCAGGGGTGTCCGAACGATTAGGGTATATCTCTGAGGGCGAAGCAGTCCAGCTGAGTATAATACTAGGCTGCGGATCGGGGTTTACCAGTCCCGTTTCGGGCGTCCTACTGCTGGCTTCATTATGGCTAGGAGTCAGTAGGACAGAGCCCTGGCGTCTTGCATGTTGGCTGCGATCACCAGTTCCCGTTTGCGAGTCTTCTTGGTACAGTTCTCGGTTTGGATGGCTGCGTGGTGGAGGCGAAGTAGGACCGGAGGTTCGACTGGCCTCATCCGTGGGACCGTGGAATCGGGGGCGCACTGTAGGGTGAGGATGAGCATTAGCTCTAGCTCGCCGCTCTGCTAACCCGTCCTCCATCCTCGACGTCCATCGTGCTGTATTCAAAAATTCAACAATCAGCCTCTCTCTTTCTGTGAGGTCCTGTATCAGTCTCTCACTTAGTGGCGAATTGCCAGAACCCGTCGCGCCTCGGTTATGGAGTGATTCATCTAATGCGTCAATCGCTCGCTGTGATGCGTCGAGTTCATGCCGTGTGTCCGGGGAGGCTCGACTATCGAGTTCGAATAATAAGTCATCCAGCAATGGCTCCGTACGGACTTCCTGCAAGCCGGGCTCGTTCATATCCAATTCCAGTATCTGTCTGCGAACGAAACCGCGACGGACATCGGCAATCCCAGCTCGCCCCTTGTCCTCAAGCCATACCAGGAGATCCCAGGGCTCAGGTGCAAAAGCCATACATCGTACAGCGCCTCCATTGCAGCAAGCTCTTGACGAGTTGAAGCGACAAATTATCGCATTTTGGCCCTGAGGCTGGCGTATAATATCGCGGATAGTCCCAACGTCAAAGATGGTGATAACTCCAGACTGCGAACCAATCGCACATAATCGACTGAATTGAGAAAAGGCGACAGTGAAACAGCATCCATCGTCAAAGCGTGTGCCTATGTCCATTTCTATACAACGAAGAAGGTCCCAGTTCCACCCACAAACTTTGTCACCATCATCCGTCACAGTCACTGCATCGAGGTCGCGGGTAACATCATAGAAATATGCACGTGTCTCGTCACCAACCGCGGCAAGGACAGTTGAATCTGGTGACATGATCGCATAGTTCATGCACGCCGGATGATGCAGCACCTTGAGGACTTTTGACCGGGCCAGGGAGTAGACGGTAACGGTCTTATCGTTATTACTGCAAAAGCGATCAGCATCTCAAATGACCTAAAAATTGCCGTGCCCATACCTGAGAATGGCTATATCTTCCTCCGCTAGCTCCTTTCCATCCCCGGGCAGACGATGGATCGTCACCGAGTTGACGATGCTGCCTCCGAACTTGTGCAGTTGCACCTCCGGAACCTGCCTACTATTGCCATGGCGAGCTGGTCCAGGCTCGTCGCCAGGCATCCAAGGCGGTGATATCCTCGCAGGCGGTTCAAGATCGATTGGCAAAGCACTGTCCACGTCCGACGGCTGGAAAGCCGGTGTATCGGCACGGGCGCGCGGACTCCGATCGGACGATAGCCCAACAAATGCGCATTCCCCATTATCGGCGCCCCCCACCCCAATCCAACCGTGACCAGCAGCAAGGCATTTTGGCTCGAACGGAATAACGGCAATGGTCTCCCGCTTTTGTGATGAAATGTGAATCGAGTATATGACTCGCTCGACGACAACGTAGATCCTGTCCGGGTCCGCGGTGCTAATGTAGTTGCGAAGTTGTTGATGGCTATCATACGATTAGCACTGATCAGCCAGCTTTTCTGCGAGCTCAATGTACAGACAAGTTGGGAATTTTGAAGGGGAAGAAGCGGCGCTTGCTGGGAAGGATAAGAGACTCCGTCGGATGATGCCTGCAGATTGATACGACATTAGCAATCGGCCAGGGAATTTCATTATATGAGTGGAAGGGGAAGCAGGAGACTGACGCGAGCGAATCCGTAGTCATTGTGAAGGAACGTCGATATAATATTTTAAGGTGACATGGTCGGAAGTACAGCTATGGCGGAGCTCCGATGTTGCGGGAGAACGACGGACAACGCAGAGGGAGCAAAAGAGTCGATGGTGAGTAGTAGAGACGACGAAAAAGAAAAGAGGTAATGGGAAGGGAAACAGCTGAAAAGGAGGCCGGTGTCGCAGGGTATTATTGAAAACAGGGTCTAGCCTGAGAGTGGGAGTTTTGGAAAACTAGAGCTTGTTCGAGTAAAGTAGGTAAAGCAGAGGGAGCACACCACCAGCACCAGATATCTCCTCTCTCTCTCTCTGTCTCTCTGCTTTCTGCTCCCACATCGCTTTCCCTCCCAACTGGTCCGCCCTTGACTGTTTGGACGATTTCGGAGGGTGCGAACGGATGACGTAAGACTTAGCCGGACCCAATCCGGGGAACCTCCAGCGGCGAATGCGGTCGAGTTCAATTCGAGTCCACCGCTTCCAGCCTGCCTTACATTCTTCTCTCTAGACGGTGAGGAAGATAGATCCTCGAGTCTTTATCTGGTGTACCTACGCTAGGTAATTATCGGATCCTGTAAGATCATACTATCGCTTTTACCTGCACGCAGCATGCCATTCAAAGCCATCCCCCTGTAGTGTCTCAAATTTTTGCAGTACGCCTAGTACTAAGTAGACCGAGGTCTCGTGAGGATTTCCCGTCTAGGTTCACAGCTTAACGGGAAGCAGTGTTTCGACACACCACTGTCTAGCATCCATGGATTCAAACTCGGACGGGCTATCAATTGCCCGTACAAATTTCTATTCCATAATTTCTTCATGACGTTGAATGAAATAGGGAATGTTGAAAATATTGACACCGATTAGAAGCTCTGGATGTTAATCTTTGGATTAAAGCTACGGAACATATTCTGCTTGGCGATGATGACTCATGAAGTGTTCATGTCCCTTGAAAGTCTATCCTGGTCGATTTCTGTCGACAAATTGGCCAATAGTGAGGTCTAAACATTTCAGAACTAATTTTTATTTACGATCGCAGTTTGCAGCCTTGCTTCAGAGAATACGGATATTAGAGGATGCAGAAAGTGTAGTCAGTCATAACTAGCACTAGCTATTAATTCTTTTCTGAGATATAAATTGTACCTAGCTGGCCAGTGTCAAGGTGCCGAGGCATCTAGTTGATGACAGAAAAGCAATAACATTGACAATTATTGAATTTTTATTCATTCATATTAACTTGACTTGATACTACCATGGAATTGAAGAGCCATTAATAGATATGGCCCAGAAATGAGTGATGCAGCACTTAATTCCAATGGAATTAAATCTATTAAGTTTCGACTTGGACGTATTGCTACAAGTGACGTGTATATAGCAACAGCTTATTTTACAATCATACTGACTAGTATTTCATTGCAAAGCAATCGACTTTTGACTCACACTGACACCTGAGCAGTTAGGGGAAAGACAAAAGAGAGCGATGGAAAAGGTATTCAAGCCACAGTGGCAATGAGTAGAGGACACTGGTAGCTTCTGCGAGCTTTTGCAATGGGAAGAAGAGACCGGCCGGGGCAGTGGCTCGGCAACTCAGCTTGAGCGGTCAAAAGGATCGCTGAGCTGCGATTGGATGGCACGCGGTGTTGCCGTGATTCTACCAAGTTCGACGACGGGCCGAAGCTCTCCGGGACGATTTTTACTAGTCCTGGCAGCCGGCGTCCTCCCTTCTTTTCAAGTTTCTTCCTCCCCAGAAAGAGCTGAAAAATTCTTGTTCTCCTTTCAACTCTCCTCCTCCCTCCTGTCTCCATCTTATACCCTCCCTCCTATATCCTCCGGCCCTTCGATTGAATCGACTGGCCCATTTCTATATTTCTCTTTTTAATTAGTTGTATTATTTTGTAATCACATCTCACAATGCTGTCCTCTCGCATCACCCGCGCGGTAAGTTTTGCATCATCATCATCATCATCATCATCATCATTGTCGATGCTAGAGTCGTGTTCCTGACATCACATTCTGTGAATCAGCTCCCGCGCACCACTCCTTTCGCTCGCGCTCCCGCTTTCAGAGTCCCCGGTGCTGCCGCTCGCAGATGGAACTCCACCGAGGGTGGTGAGGAGAAGGTGAAGGGCCAGGTCATCGGTATTGACTTGGGTATGTTCGAGAATCCCTGTACTCGTGATGTAATCTACACAGTATCTAATGCAGTCACACAGGTACCACCAACTCCGCTGTTGCCGTCATGGAGGGCAAGACCCCCAAGATCATTGAGAACACCGAAGGTACGCGAAAAATTTTTCATCCGCCGCGCCAGTTCCGCAGTGACTCCGAAATCGGAGCTACACGCAGAATCTCGCTGGTCTCATGCAGTTCGAGCGATAGGTGGCTGACTTGAGATGCAAATAGGTGCCAGAACCACTCCTTCCGTTGTTGCTTTCGCCCAGGACGGTGAGCGTCTGGTCGGTATTGCCGCCAAGCGTCAGGCCGTTGTCAACCCCGAGAACACTCTCTTCGCCACCAAGCGTCTTATCGGTCGCAAGTTCACCGACGCTGAGGTCCAGCGTGACATCAAGGAGGTCCCCTACAAGATCGTTCAGCACACCAACGGCGATGCCTGGGTTGAGGCTCGTGGCCAGAAGTACTCTCCTTCCCAGATTGGTGGTTTCGTCCTCAACAAGATGAAGGAGACTGCCGAGAACTACCTCAGCAAGCCCGTTAAGAACGCTGTCGTCACTGTCCCCGCCTACTTCAACGACTCCCAGCGTCAGGCCACCAAGGACGCCGGTCAGATCGCTGGTCTCAACGTTCTCCGTGTCGTTAACGAGCCCACTGCCGCCGCTCTTGCCTACGGTCTTGAGAAGGAGGCCGACCGCGTCGTCGCCGTCTACGATCTTGGTGGTGGTACTTTCGATATCTCCGTTCTGGAGATCCAGAAGGGTGTTTTCGAGGTCAAGTCCACCAACGGTGACACCCACCTTGGTGGTGAGGACTTCGATATTGCCCTTGTCCGCCAGATTGTCCAGCAGTTCAAGAAGGAGTCCGGCCTGGACCTCTCCGGTGACCGCATGGCTATCCAGCGTATCCGTGAGGCTGCTGAGAAGGCCAAGATTGAGCTGTCTTCTTCTCTCCAGACCGAGATCAACCTTCCTTTCATCACTGCTGATGCCAGCGGTGCTAAGCACATCAACCACAAGATGACCCGTGCCAGCCTCGAGTCCCTGGTTGACCCTCTCATCAGCCGCACCGTTGAGCCCGTCCGCAAGGCCCTCAAGGATGCCAACCTGCAGTCCGGTGACATCCAGGACATCATCCTGGTCGGTGGTATGACCCGTATGCCCAAGGTCACCGAGTCCGTCAAGTCCATGTTCGGCCGTGACCCCGCCAAGTCCGTCAACCCCGATGAGGCTGTCGCCATCGGTGCTGCCATCCAGGGTGCCGTCCTTGCTGGTGAGGTCACTGACGTCCTTCTGCTCGATGTCACTCCCCTCTCTCTCGGTATCGAGACTCTTGGTGGTGTCTTCACCCGTCTGATCAACCGCAACACCACCATCCCCACCAAGAAGTCCCAGACCTTCTCCACCGCCGCTGATTTCCAGACCGCTGTCGAGATCAAGGTCTTCCAGGGTGAGCGTGAGCTCGTCAAGGACAACAAGCTCCTCGGAAACTTCCAGCTTGTTGGTATCCCCCCTGCCCACCGTGGTGTTCCCCAGGTCGAGGTTACCTTCGACATTGATGCCGACTCCATCGTCCACGTTGCCGCCAAGGACAAGTCCACCGGCAAGGACCAGTCCATCACCATTGCCTCCGGCTCCGGTCTCTCCGACTCTGAGATCCAGTCCATGGTTGAGGATGCTGAGAAGTACGGTGCTCAGGACAAGGAGCGCAAGGCCGCCATTGAGGCTGCCAACCGCGCCGACAGCGTCGTGAACGACACTGAGAAGGCTCTCAAGGAGTTCGAGGACCGCCTTGACAAGGCCGAGGCCGACCAGATCCGCGAGAAGATTGCCACTCTCCGCGAGTTCATTGCCCAGAACCAGTCCGGTGAGGGCACTGCCACCGCTGAGGAGTTCAAGCAGAAGACCGACGAGCTCCAGAACGCCAGCTTGACCCTCTTCGACAAGATGCACAAGGCTCAGTCCGAGCAGCAGCAGCAGCAGCAGAGCGGTGAGGGCGAGAATAAGGCCTAAATGTACAACCACTGAACTCCCCATGACTTGAACAAGCCATGGGTGTTTTCCTGTATTTCACCTTTGCGTTATTCCCTAGAGCCTTTCCTCTTTTTTTCTCTCCGATGTTTTAACACGCATGATATGTATACATACCTGATAGCTCTGACTGATCTATCCCTGTTCCGGTGTATTGGTGTTTTTATTTACTCTTTCTTATGTTCATTTCCCTTCTGTATTCTGATTTCTCTTTTCTCCAATCCCCTCTTCATACCTTTTTGGGCCGGGTGAGCGTTTGCACTTCTTTGACAGGAGGGCCATCCGTTGGAACGGATGCATGGAGTTTACATTTTGTAACTTAATGACATTACGGCTGGGAGACCACGAAAAAAAGGATGTGGTGGGCTGGAATCTGTGACAATAGAATATGAAATTCTCCTCTCGATTTAACAACTGTGTTGTGCTGGACCTGATACAAGGATGTAGAACTTGGCTGTATACAAGAAAATAAGAGAACATACGTAGACACATACGTAGCCATGTCCTGTGAAACACGACCGATTTCACCACTGCAGTTATGGAGAACTCACCCAAGTGCTAGCTAGTCTACTAGTAGTCTAATTACTATGACTAGTGAGTGAGTGAGTGAGTGAGTGAGTGACCACCATACCAACATTCTGGAAATCGCCCCGAAAAAA